TGTATTACGCGTTCAGTTGTGTGTGGGGGGGGGGGGGAGGGGAGAGCGCACTTTTAATTACACTAGATTCAATGTGCTAATGGATCCAAACGCAGGGCAAGGGCAGCCTACAAAGTTACCAACAAATGCTGGAAAAATGTTGAATCTGTGGCCCAGCCCTAGTGTTTATACCACACCCAGAACTGCGGCCTGGGTCTCAATTTCTAAGTTGCTTCTTCAAGCAGGCATGAAAATTTAAAAAAGGTGTCCTAGCTATGTACGCCAAGATCAGAAATACGAGGGCCTGGCTACGCTGCAGTCAGGTGGGACGATCACCACACACAGGCATAGTCACGCTACTTTTGGGCTAGCGACAACAGCAGCAGCAATGGAGTCGAGGCAGCATGGACTAGCCACCTCAGTATGGGCCCGGGGGCCTGGGCAGAGCTGGACTTGGGAGCTGGCCCAAGACACCGCTGCCCTGTGGTTGCTTGAGCTAGATCCGAGCACAACCCTGGGGAGGTGGAATCAACCGAGTCTCACCACAAGCCCTGCAAGAACCTGGTATCGGCTGTTCGGTTTGTTTCCACTTTTCTTTTTGGGGAGGAGTCCCTGGCCCAAACTGCGAATGACTATTCTGTAATGCTTGACGTTCACCCAGACCTAGACAGACTCGTCTCCTCTCTAGGCAGTAGGGGCTGCTCATGAGGAATCGGGAGGGCTCCTGGACTGACCGCTCCCGTGTTCAGATGGCCTGGTTCTTAAGAAGGGCTTAAGAAACAGACAAACGAAGAGCATCAAGCCCCCGGTTCCCTACAACACTGACTGGAAGCTGCCGGGGAAGCCAGGCCTACGCCATGCTGGCTTTAGGGACGTGGATTCTCTCTGTGCACGTTCTGTGCCAGCTGGGGATTAAGCGGGGCCTGTTGCACTGGCTACAGATTGTTGCTCTGGACAAGGCCAGCATCTACTCAGGGAGGGGACGATTGCTGTGGCATCTGAACTGCAGGTGTCTGCGGCCTTCCCAAAGCCAGAATGGGCCCGACGTAGCAACGTGGGGACTCCCGCGTTGAGTCTTGCATCTCCCCTCCGCACAGCTATTCGCAGCAAGACAGCCAGTGGGCAAAACGCTCACTGCCTTGCAATGCTGTCGGCGTTACACCCTCCTCCCCAGCTGCTTCCAGGGCAGTATCCAAGCTTCCCTCCCCAGCGACCCCCCCCTTCATGGTGCTTCCCTCCCAGCGTGGGCCTACTGACCCAGCACCCTCGCCCCACTCCGACTGTTACAGGCTCACTTTCTTCTGGACACCCGGGTGGAGTGGGCAAAACGCTCACTGCCTTGCAATGCTGTCGGCGTTACACCCTCCTCCCCAGCTGCTTCCAGGGCAGTATCCAAGCTTCCCTCCCCAGCGACCCCCCCCTTCATGGTGCTTCCCTCCCAGCGTGGGCCTACTGACCCAGCACCCTCGCCCCACTCCGACTGTTACAGGCTCACTTTCTTCTGGACACCCGGGTGGAGTGAAGGACCGGGGGTGGGGAGGCGGGGGGGAAGAGGGGTGAGAGAGAAGACAACCCCACCCCCGAAATGACCCTGTTGCTGCCGCCCCTTCCCACCACTCGGCAGGGGGGGCTCCAGAGGTGGGGTTAGAGCGCAGGCTTTTGGGGACAGGCGCCCGGCCTGGCTACCCTGCAAAGCGCATTGGGTGGGACCCACAGAGCTGTGCCGACTACAGTGGAGGAGGAGGGGATAGACTGTTCTCTAAGCTCCTCAGCCAGTGGTGCTGGGCTGCCTCCTTGGCCGGCAGGAGCCATTGAGAGCCAGGCCTCCCCGTCCTGCTGGGCAGGAAGCAGCAGTAGCAGCCTGCGGCACAGCCACGGGGAGATACACCAGGAACGTGCTGAGGCGGCTTTTATCGCACTGCCCGTCGGCGAGACCCCGGCCAAACCCCGCCCTGACCACAGCGCGTTACGTTAGCGTCTCAGACCCACATTGGTGGGCGGCTCCCGTCTGCTTACATGGGTCTAATCCCCTGCTCAAGTGCTCCCTGTGCTGGATGAGGGGAAGGGATCTGCCATCTCTCAGGCAAGCGCCTAAATCGACTGTAATTCTTCATTCTGCCCAATTAATATGCAATTAAATAACTGGACAACCACATGGAACCACTTCAATAGCAGAGAGAGAGAGACCGACCCACATCCGAGTGGCCCCCTAGACTAGCGGTTTGGGCACTCACGTGCCCGATGGCGAATCCCTGCTCAAATCTCTTCTCGTCGGGCAGAGTACACTAGCCACAGGCTAACGGTTATAAAAGAGATCGCCTCCTGCCCCACCCTGCTGTTCCTCAGAAGGAACGAATGTCACGCTTACCTCCTCTCCACACCCTGGTCTCGGTTTCAGACTGGAGCAAGGTTGCAGACGATTCTGTTTACACTAACGCGCCCTATGAGGTGTTCTGCTTCCTGCACTCTTATTTTGTGTGTCCCTCATTTTTGCTCACGTCCCACATTTGGCCCTTGCGGGACCAAGTGCTCAGCTGCTGCTTTGATGAATGCGGCCTAAAGACCGAAGCTAAACAAGTGTTTAAGGCAGCTGCGAGAGTCATACTCACAGGGGCAGTCACAAAGTGCAACAGCAGCAAAGTAGTGGGAGAGGGCCTTGAAATGCTCGGACTTGACGTGAACCATGGTGGCCCATGAGAAAGGGACATAATCCTTCACGTGAGCCTGGGTCATGGTCTGATGCACCAACGAGTAGACTTCTTCAACCTGTAACCAGCAAACACACGCTATTAATGAGCAGGCTCCAAGCAGACACCAGTTCAGCTGCAAGGCCATGAATGGATAACACGGATGTAGTCTAGATATGCCCATAGCGTTAGCCTCCCCTTATGGGCAAGGCTAACAATCCAGCTAGCTCAATATCCGATCTTCTGACAACGGCCAACTTCAGGTGCTGCAGAAGGAATGAATAGAGCAGATGATCAAAGGATCCATCACCTCTCTGGCAATCAAAGGCTAAATAGTCTGAGAGATGGGGTGAAAGCCTCATCCCTTGGGACACAAAACTAGAATGGCCAAATCAACAGAACACATTTGGCAGGGGACAACCATGCACTAGCAGGGAGTAGGTCAGGCAACCCAGCCGGCTTCTTCCAGCTCTGATTTCTGTGGCACAATTACTTGTGTTTGTTTCAGGGCAACAAAGCACAACAGTACTTCCAGCTATCTTGCACTTTTAGCTCTAGATCTCACACTAACTGAGAAAATGAAGGCACAGGGATGTTAAGTGACTTGACCAAGGCCACACAGTCAGCTGCAGACTTGGGAATAGAATCCAGGTCTCTGAAATCCCAGAACTAAATGAGCTTAGTCCCAGATTTGTTCTACACAGTGCATTCACAGCAGCTGAAGAACACTCAAAGGGTCTACTGCATTACTTATCCCAACTAAAGCTATCATCCTGGCTTGGTGTTTTCACCCCAAAGTATCATCTTAGTAGAGCAGTAAGGCGATGTCCACCCTAAGCTGACCTACGTTATGCAACTCCAACTATGTGAATAATATAGCTGGAGCCAACATAGGGCATGTCTAGATTACCTCTCTTTCGAAAGAGGGATGTAAATTAGAAAGAACAAAATTGCAAATGAAGCCAGGATTTGAATTTCCTGCTCTTCATTTGCATAATGGCGGCCATGTGTTTTTGAAAAAGGGCTTTTCGAAAGTGAAACTGCTGTCTAGACGTGGTTCTTTCGGGGGAAAAAACCCTTTTTTGAAAGATCCTGTACTCCAAGTTTGCAATTTTGATCGAATTTACATCCCTCTTTCGAAAGAGAGATGTAGTCTAGACATGCCCATAGCGTAGGTACATCTACTGCAGTGTCTACACATGTTGGATTGACAGGCGGGTGTCTCGCTCTTCTCGTTTCGGATGAGGGTATCGGGGTTAACTGGAAAACAACCTGCGGATGATTTGGTGGGTCTTCACCAGACCTGCTAAATCAACCCCCCAGTGCATCGATCACCAGGGCATTTCCTCAGATGGTTGCGTCTATGTAACCTAGGACTCTTTAGAAACGAGGGAGGGTTCTATGGAGTCCTACTTGGAATGAGTATTTCTTGAGAACTCAATCTATTTTTGGTCTAGATCTAGCAACTGGTACCTGGATGGTAATGGAGTGCCACATGGGGACTGCATCACAGCAGTTAGCAATGCTAAGTGGACTGATTTAGGAGTTTAACTGCAGTTTAGGACTAGAGTTAGCAAAATATCCTTAAAACAGATTATGCATTAGGTCATCACAAAAACCAGGACTTCAAGGAACCTCAAGAGATAATCAAGTCCAGCCCCACCTCCCACACACCTTAAGGAAGGAGACCAAGTAAACCTAGATCATCTCTGACAGGGTCGGTCCAACCTGTTTCTTCAAAGTCTCCAATGACAGGGATTCCGCAACCTCCCGCGGAAGCCTATTCCAAAATGTAACTACCCTCAGAGTTAAAATCGTTCTGCTAATAGCCAGCCTAAGTCTCCCTTGCTGCAGACTGAGCCTGTTTATAACAGTCCTTGCAACAGCTGAAGATTGATATGTTTCCCCCTCCCCTGCTTCTCTTCTCAAGTCTAAGAGTTTAAAGGGTCTACAGGCAGTCCCCAACTTACGCGGATCCGACTTATGTCGGATCCGCACTTACGAACGGGTCTTTTCTCGCCCTGGAGCTCACGGGCGTGTCCTCCGGGGCGAGAAAAACTTCTCCCGGTCTCCCTGGTCTGCTGGGGGGGGGTCCAGCGGCTTTGCTGGACCCCCCCCAGCAG